TTTTTAATGGCTCCAAATTGTTTGATTCAACTTGTCTGCAGATAGCGAAGTGAACACTTAAAAATAGCGCAGGTTTCCTTTCGTTAAAATCTCAGAATATTTGAAAATGTTTAAAACTAGTTCGTATTCCTTCAACTTGGATTTAATTCAACCGTATTGAATACTGAGTTTTTTACGTAATGAAATCTGTTGTTCATTTATTAAACAATTATTTTCTCACAAATGACTCCAAATTATTTCTTTTTTTTCCTTTGACATATTTTTAAAAAAATATTGCGTTAAGCAATAATAGAATTGAGCGTAGGTGTCATTTCCGGCAAACTCCATATTTTCAAATATTGCAAAAATTAACTCTGTAAAAGAACAATATTGGTGATGAAGATATTTCCTGGATGAAATCTGTTCTTAAAGATAGATCCTGAAATAATGTAAATGAAAATCTCAAAATTTTTAAAATTACATATGCAAATGTTCAACTTTCTTAAGCTTCGGGAAGGTTGAGTATAGTATTTACTAGGCTGTCCGGGTGACGCCGCGTCCATGGCGATGGTGCCGACGTTTCGGTCACCATTCTGCGACCTTCCTCAGGGCGTAATGCACTTACGCAAGGGCATTACGCCCTGAGGAAGGTCTCAGAATGGCGACCGAAACGTCGGCACCTTCGCCATGGACGCGGCGTCACCCGGACAGCCTAGTAAGTACTGACTCCGGCCGCGGAAGCCTACGCTCTCAGGTTGAGTATAGCTGTGTAGCTGGTGGAGAAGGGGTAACGTAATTGCTGGCTCTAAGTTCGAACATCAGCGCGGAGAGAATATTTTTGCTGTTTCAGGTAGTATGATAATTTAGCGTAACCATTGCAAATAATGCGAGAAAGTATGTGTTGTTTATTACCTAGGAAGTATGTGTTGTTATTATACTAGGTATCGCCTAAAACCACTCTTGACAAATTGATATTTATTAATACAGTAGAACGCGGGTAACCCGAACTAATTGGGGATGTGACCTGTTCGGATTCGGAAATGTACGGATTATCCGAAATAATGTACATAATACAAATACATCTATAGAATTACCAGACAATGCAACATAGCGTACGATGCGAGAAAATGGCGACGTAGCATAGCGATCGCATAATGATGCGATGCGTTGCGATGACATCATCACATCACATCGCATTATCACTTCCGTACGGCAAAGAAGATTCACTTCCGTACGGCAAAAGATTACCGAAGATGTGGCATACACATGTTTTATGATGAGAGTAACTAATTCTATAGTAATTATAAAATACTGTAGAAGTGAAAAAAATCTTTACACTACAAATAAACTTTTTTTATTTTTCCTCCATCCCAAATTTTGTTCGGATTATCCGAAATTTCGGATTTGCAGGGTTCGGATTAGCGAGGAGAACATCTTTTCTTCAAGGGATTCCTAAGTTATAATTCTCAGCTGCTGGAAAACAAAAAAGTACTTCATCACAGTGATGAACTCTGAAGATTTCCCTTCAAGAGAAAACTTAAAAATGTATCACCAACAGGCAAAAAATGTCAAAGGTGAACCAGTTACTGGCTGACACTGAGATGGATCCGGATTGATGAGATGGATCGGGATTGAGAAGGCTGAACCATTTGCTATCAAATATGAAACAACATTCTTACCAGAAATGTCATTGAGAAAACTTAGTATCCAAAAGAAAATGGAAACAGTCATCCTTTAGAAAGTGTAGCTAATGTCTCACAAGATCTTCATAGCACATTAAAACTGAACGCCATGGCAAAAAATAAATATGTAATAGGCCTCTTGAAGTTTATACCTGCTATTTATCACCATTATCATAAAAACTTGAAGTATTGAAGAGGCATCCTTCAAGACGAACCTGCCAGTGATGACGACTGCATCACTAACGCAGAATAGAGGCAATGTACACATTTTTATTTGTATTTCAGACAATTTTTATTTTATTTTATGTATTGTTTAGTTACTTACAATAATACTGGTAATATTTTTTAGTAAAAAAGTTGTTCTGGGCGTATTTGTTCAATAAAATAAGATAGACCATTTTATTTATCAAAAACTTTAACTGTTCATACTGAAAATTTTCGTTTGATGGAGTTAATGGACTTTGCTTCTGAACGCCTTATATGTGCGAATTGAAGCAGTGATCTCCTAAACCAACTATGAATCCAATTCTGAATATTGTAAAATAATTGTGTTATTAATTATTGTAATTCTTTTAGAATTTCGCCGCAGCGCGAAATCAGAAAAACTAGCACGACTGCAATGGCAAGTGAGCTCATCCGTTGCCTGCACATAGCGTCGTTAGCCACGAGGTCCTACGGCTACAGTCCTGGCGATGGCGAACTTCCGACACTAGCTAACTAGCTATTTTGAATTCAACCACTGTCTGGGGAAAACTTTTAGCTGCCTGCTGCTCTATTTCGTCGATTTCCATGGTTTCTTTCATAAATACCATGACTGAGCCAGTGCAGTACCTTAATAAACGGGCCCTTAATCCTTGTCCCGCTCCCTTCACAAACACATACACTACACCACCACACATTTTGGAAGTCCAGTGAAGGGCGAAGAGCTTGTCCTGGCTGGGGCGGTGCCCCACTGGGGGAGATATTTGGAAGCGAAAACCGACGTCGGCGTCAGATTCCATGTTCCAGCAGAAAAACACCGCTACCTGCTGGGTTTAACATGCACTACATAAACGGAACTAGTGACAATAGTAATTGACTCCTCCACAAACACTTGCTCACTAAAGGCCGCCCCTGTTGTTAATGAAATGATATTACTTGACAGCAATCCTAGTAGATAACGTTCAATATGATTGTAACACTTTTGTGAGAAGTAACTTCCGAAAATATTTTCGCGTACTGCTTTAGCTCCAAAGTTATTGAGAGTTGCACTGTCATGAGGTGTGCTCACTCATCATTTAAGCCTTTTCTATACAGCTGTAAGGTATGCCACTTTCATGGGAAATAGATTCGTGAATACGTACAATATTTTATCTCTCTAAAGTTCAACAGCGAGTGTTTCATTACCGTTGCTCAGTGGTGCAGATTCTGTGGGCACATTTCTGGAGTGCATATTTTATTGAACACTGAACTTACGACAGAAAAGATTGTGATGTCGGGTACACTGAAGCATTAGCGATGTACCAAACTTTTTTAGGCATTTCAGTAAGAAATTTAAGACTTACACTTGTGCTAAGTAATATATACCTTTTAGGACCACCTCTATAAGATGATAATTGTGTAATATATTATTGTTATTATTGTTATTATTATTACTATTATTATATAACTATTAATATTCCGTTTTGTATTTTCCTATTTATCAGTTTTCCAAATTAATTTAAATAATAATTTTATCTTTCAGGTCTGGATGACAGTTGCTTAGATGCAATGTTGGGCGATGGCATTGAAGGCCAAGCACTCTATGATAATATGTGTTATCAGGAGTTAAGTTCCCAAGGAGAACTAGAAAAGGCATCAGAGAAAGAACAAATTATTGTGAGTGTTCTTACAAATTTTCCCAATACACAATTAGCATAAAAATATTTTTAAAATATCAATGGAGCTTCACAAGGATCTGTTTTCGCTTCTATTTAATTTGTACCTACATTCATGATCTTCGGTCAAAAATGACACTGAAATTTCAGAATGCGTATGTCAGAATCATTGCCAGGCAATATAAGTAACATGAAACGTAATAACGTCGGCAACTTTTTAAGTTTTTTTTTTTTTTTTTTTTTTTTTTTTTTTTTTTTTTTTTTTTTTTTTTTTTTTTTTTTTTTTGTCCTTTTGAAGATGGTGATAATAAAGAGTGATGATTAAATTGGATTCTCTCAAGTCTGTTACCCGCAATACTACCTTCATACACAATGTTTGTAACATGTTGGATGTATACAATTCCTAAAAGAGGGCGAAGCATCTCAGGAAACAGGGTAACTTCATCCCCTAATGTAATAATGTAAGAAAACTAAGTGGTTTTCAGACATTGAGTAAAACGACCAAACACACCATATTTTATTTTTCCACTATGTCTCAACTAGATGTTGGGGTTTTCTGTAGGTGCCTAAATAAATAAACATGGAATGAAATAACTAGTAGAAATTAAAGACAATTGCATAATATCTAATTGTAAAGTAACTTTAATAAATTATATAAATTTAAATAACAATACAGATTTATTTTTGGAAATTGTACAGTGCGTTTTTATACAATAAAGGTCGTGATAAATTATCACAAGTTAAAAACAAATATCTCTTTGAAATTGTTCGATATGTTTTATAAATCTACCAAAAGTTGAAAGTTTAAACATAAATAAACAAATTCCATGGTGATGATCATATCAGAGAATTTGATATACCGAATCCAAAGACTGTAATAAAATATAAAAAGTAGTATATAGAAAAATGTTGATGATGTCGGGGGAGGAATGAATTGGAAATAATGCCCATTTGCCGACCTGTCAGTCTATGGCTACCCTCGCACACGCACTAACGACATCGAATATAGGAAAATAAATTAAACAGTTTTTGGTTGATAATATGATATAATTAATCTTAAGTAAAAGAAGTTTGATATGCAAAGAACACCGAAAGACACAAAGCGCAATTAGACTACTGTACTGACTAATTATTTCTATCAATCGCATTCTATTAATCTTCTCTTTTGAAGGTTCTCATGTTTTATACCAATTTAAGCCCGCAATCAGTACTTTAGACAGGCCAGCTTTCAGCAGCAGCGCGAGCCTTTCGCCCTTTCGATGCGACGCCGTCATACGAGTACAACTGGGTCGTCATCCAGGTCATTCTTAATGGCAGAGGTAGCTCAAGTATTGATGTAGGCTCAGTCAGCTCAGCCAGCAGTCATTGACTTTACTGCAGTGCCTATGACTGAGAGGTCCTAGGGTCCGAGTCCCAACAGTAGCAGGATTTTCGACACTAGCTATAGAACTTGATTAAATTCAGCCGCCGTCTGGAAGACATTAAAAAATGGCGTGGATTTTATATTCGTTAAAATCTCGGAATTTTCAAAAATTGCCAAAGGTCTATTTTTTCTGCGTCTTTTCCCAACTACAATATTGAAGATAGAGATTTTTGTTCTCAATGAAATCTGTTCTTCGAAAATCGTACTTTAAATTAGGTCATGTGAAAATGTTTCAAAATATGACTAGTTTTCCGGTAATTTTGCTTGAAATATATGCAATTTCTAAACAATTATGTTTCCCAAAAAGACTCCAATTTTTTTCCTTGTTATCTCCGACATGTTTTAGACACTTAAAAATATCCCAGGTTCCGTTTTCATGGTACTCTCGATTTTTCAATTGCGAAAATTGCAAAATCGTTCTAAAAAAGTACAACATTGTTAATGTGAATTTTTCTTAAATTAATCCTGTTCTAAAAATAAGCTATGTAAAGAATGCCATGTACAATATTTTTTAAAAACTGTAGTTTTCACGTAATTGTTTCGTGAAATTAAGGCAATTTATTAAATAATCTCAAAATCGGCTCCAATTTTTTCTTTGACGTTTTTCCTCGGATAGAGAAAATGACGCTTCAAAAAGTGGGACAGATCTCGTTTTCGGCGAACTTTCGAAAATTTCAAACAAAACCTTAACATTGTAAAACTACAATATTGTTACAATATTGAATTTTTCCTTAATAAAATTATTCTTTACAACTAGATCTTGAAATAATGTAAACGAAACTCTCTGAATTTTTGAAAATTGCATGTGCAAATCTTCTGATGCTACTACTCATGAAATGTGAGCCACAAAAAATGTTAAAGAAATGGTGAAGAGACAAACCATTCCATAGACAATATCTAAAAGGAATGGAAAAGGTGCAGATCAATAAAGATCGATCATTTATGTGGCTTAAAAGGGGAAGAATGAAGCCAGAATCGGAATCAGTTTTAATAGCTGCCCAAGATCAGGCGTTGAGAACATACTATGATAAAACTTGGTTCTCAAAATTTCCTACGTTGACAAATGTCCAGGAACAAGTAGAAAACATTGATCAAATCGTCTCAGCTTGTCCAATTCTAGAAAATACCGAATACTTGAAATCGTCTCAGCCTGTCCATTCTAGAAAAGATCGAATACTTGAAAAGACCGAATACTTGAAATCGTCTCAGCTTGTCCAATTCTAGAAAAGACCGAATACTTGAAAAGACAGATTACTTGATAGCATGTGTCGTTATCTCCTCTGACAGATCTCTAACGCCCTTATTTATGTTCCAAACACATGCTCCAAGTAGTACGAACACATCAAAACCGGTGACGTCTGTTGGACTGTACAATTTTGTACGGCCAACAAATTCACACTGATCGCGCCATAGCGGCAAATAAACCGGATATTGTTTTCCGGGATTGAAAAACAATGTGTTTACTTGTAGAGGTTGCTGTGCCGTGCGATCAAAGCGTCGTAATCAAGGAGGCAAAGAAACGTCTGAAATAAAAGAGTTTGGAAATCAAGATCAGCCGAATGTGAGGGGTTAAAGCACAGGTCGTCCCTATAGTTATCGGCGCTCTGGGATTTTGCTCCACAATTTGTGTAAGAACTTGGATAAACTCCCAGGTTATTCAAAATCTTGGATGTGCAACATATTGCTTTATTGGGAACAGCCCACATTTTCCGCAAAGTATTGTAGAGGCACCAACAATTCCTAATATTAATATATTTAGTCGTGAATTAGAGTATAATGATAATAATAATAATAATAATAATAATAATAATAATAATAATAATAATAATAATAATAATAACAACGCCACAATGACGGAGAAAATTTGCCATAGGTATTACGGATGCATAAGATTCGTATAGAAGCTCGCTCTGAACTTGATTAAAATCGCTATCATAAGTAGGTTGGCTGTCTCTGTAGCCCAGTATAGCTTCATACTGGTGGACTGGACTGAGCAAGAAATTTGAACCGAATTGAATAAAGAAAATTGCTTACAATGCATCATGATGCTCACCCTCGAGTTGATGTAGAGATATATCGAGCAAAGAAGGAGGGAGAGAGCTCAGTCAAAATGAAGCTTCCTGTCACTACGCAATAGTCGGAACCGTAAAGTACGAGGTGAGTGTTCAAAATGACCTACTCATGATGATTGACATTATATATTACTGAAGGAAATGGAATCGAGTCATTTTAAAAGTACCTGGAAGCATTGCATGGAAAACTATGCAACGAATAACGTAGAAGGCGCGCAGAATAACGCAATGAGTTGTTGATGCTGTTCGAAAAAAAATGTAGCACATAGAAAATGTTAAAGAAATCGTGTATACAAACTTCAAGAACAATGTCTAAAAAGAATGGATAAGATGCACATCAACAAAGACCAATAATTTTTGTGACTTAAAAGGAGAAGAATAAACCCTGAATTGGAAGCAGTTGTAAGAGCTGCCCAAGATCGAGAATTGAGAACGTGTTACGAGTTTTGCGAGTATTGGGTCGTGCGGATACCCGGGACTCAAGTATGCGTGTATTGCAACGGGCCAATTTTGCGCTAATTTCATCAGTCTTATGAGAAGAAATGTGAATCGTGCAATTTGTAGTTTGCATAGAAAAAGTATGAAACTTTGAAAAGATAAGTTTGAAGATAGAAAAGACAAAATAGGGAACAAAATGAACAAATTTACTTATTTTATTTTATTTTTTTTTAATTTTAATAGTTCGCATTAATATTGCGGACACCAGAATTCACCTCCATAAAAACGCACTTTAATAGTATTGACAAAGCTGTGGCTTGAATAATGAAGTATCTTATATTTGTTTGTGTTGAGAATAAGTCAATATTGTTATTTTAATTTAATTGTATTAATGCTCTGACATTTCTGCTCAATAAAATAGTTTTTACGTAAATTAACATGTTTTGTTAAATGTTGATTCACATTTTTGGACCTTAGTGGAGTAATTGGACCTTTTCGTAGACCTAAACAGCAATATGGGGCCTACAAGGAATCTGTAGTTCTTTCCGTTATTGTAATAACTTTATAAAGAACTACAATGTAAAGCCATTAAATTCATCAAAAGTAATGAATTTTTACATTTAGCAATTCATGAACCAGTTCTCAGAATCCGATTTATTAGTCACTTTGCCTTTTTTTAGAGCACGCAAAAAGAATTTGCCCCAAATTTCGTCGCTTATCTTGTATTCTTTCTACTCTGAAAAGTAAATTCAGTCGCTTGTTCGCACTGCAATGCCACTACAAATACACAAGAACCTCACTTGAGAGGGCTGCCTCTGCGAGCAAGCAACATGGCCGCCAGAACAAACGTTCGAAGCGCGAGCTCGGTCGGTGAAAGCGGGAAGTAACTTCTCCATTGAGATCATCCGCCGAACGAATGAGCCTTCGTTCAGAATTGCGTGTTCGCTCGCTCGCGCAGTGTATACGCACCTTTAGGGATACTCACACACACACTTTCTTACACTTTCATGTACTACACTTCTGCACATATCGGGTAACAAGGCAGCTGTCCCGGCGGCGGTGAGCCCCGCTGAGGGGATATACCTGGAGAGGAAAATCCCTCGCAAACCAAACTATAGTGTACGGACGCTCTTTTAAGTAATATACTTGTCAAATTATTTTATCAAGTACTAAGTCTGATAGTTCTCTTACTCAACAATCACTAACCATTATCGAATGAGAAACGTTTGTACTAGTGTGAAATGCAATTGAGAGGCAAACATATGTGCCACCAGCCGGGCGAGAAACACGACAACATTCAGGTTGTCAAATGTGAAGGCGGTTCACGTGCAAGCAGCAATGGTGTGTGATGCATGTGTGCCCAATGGTGTGATCAATGTAGGTGCGCCCAATCAAGAGGTAACGTAATTTCTTGCGAATCAATGGAAGAGAAATACCACGAGAATTTCAGGCAAAATAGCGAAGTTTACTATTATCGTTAGTACGGGGCTATTACAGCCCGTATTTTGTGCAAAGTTTTGTAGATTTGTTATCAGCTACCTGTATATTAACCAGCGATATATTAGAAAGTTGCGCAATAATGCGTTATGGATATTGGTAGAAGAGGACTTGTTCCTACACCTTTTGAATGTCCCTATGACCTTATAGACAATTGAAAATGCTGATTTTATTACCCTGAAATGTTCATTTTATCTTTTTTAAATATACACCTCTGCATCTAATTTTATTTTTACTAATTTTATAAATATGAAATGTTTTATTTTCCAAACCTACTTATTTCTAAATTTTGTATACAAGACCATACACAAATTTAAATTGAAAAGACTTTGATAGGCCTGAAAGAAAGCACACAGACAAATATAACAAAATATTTTTTTGTTATTAATGTAGGTAAACATGCGCTTTGCTCCTTAACAACCATCCATCTAAACAGCGCATTAAGAGCGTGTCCATAGCAACGACCGTTGAAATATTCGAGAGTTAAATAAAAATATTTCAGTGGACTCTGGGGTTTACATTTTACCACTGCTCATAAATCTTTGGATAAATATGTCCCTTTTGTCCTCTTTGACCCATGTCCCATTTGCCCCTTGCCCCATTAGTCCTACTGATCCCATTTATTCCCTTTCCCGTTTACCCCTTGGCTCATTTTGGACCCATTTGTCCCCTTGACCCATATATCCCCTTGGCCCATGCTGTCCCCTTGTCCCAGTTTGTCCCAATGTCCCCTTGCCATCTTTGTCCTCCTTTCTCTGCTTTGTTCCACTTGTCCCCCTTTGTTCCATGGGTCCTTCCACGTACTGCAATTGTGATTTTAAAACGGTACCAAGACCCTGTATCAACAATCCTTGCTACAGAACATGGAGAGTAATGACAATTCTTAACTCGTGAAAGGGTTAAATGAAGAATATTTTAACTTCTGTTATAATGTTTATTATATTGTAAGTTTCTTGAACTTAATAAAACAGACTGAGTTTTTTATCATGTCTACCAACATGGGTATGTTTTAAATTATTATTATTATTATTATTATTATTATTATTATTATTATTATTATTATTATTATTATAATTATTATTGTTGTTGTTATTGTTGTTGTTATTATTATTGTTGTTGTTTAATTTGTCTCAGTGCATCACTTTATCAGATAAGTGCTACCATTTTACTTACTTTATACTACATATAACTTACTGTATATTTTTAGACTGTTTTTTGAAAGAGACCCCAAATAGGGTCGGAACATTAAATAAATTGTTATAAAAAATGTGTCCTTTATTAAGGTCAAGAAACTTACAATAAAAGAAAGCGTTAGATGTTTATTTTGTATAACTAGAAATAACAAAAAACATTGTATCTTACACATCCTCTCCTAGTAATTAAGGACTTGTCCTTAAAGACTAATTTAGAGGACTTGTTACATAAAAAATAATATTCTATTGGTGAATAAAAAAAGATTAGACAATTCTGCATGTATCTTCACAATGCTACTTTTACAATATAAATACTTTTATAATAAAAACTGTAATACCTTTTTTCATTGTTCATAACATTTTTCCTGGAAAATAATTCATTTACAACAAAGTAACCAAAGAATATGTTTTCTTTAAAAGATGTTTCTCTCAATCCACATGTGAAGAAAGACTGTGGCATCTTTCTTCACATGGAAATCTAATATGGGAAATTCTCAAATATCTAATATCATCACAATTAATGGTGTAGCATGACAAAATCAAATGGGTATTAAAAAGAAGGTATAAATTTTGAAAGTTGTAATAATGATCTTGTAGTTAAGATCTTACACACCATAAACATTTATTGGTTGAATAACTCATAACATGCATTATTTAAACAAATTAAGTTAACTATAACCATGCTCAAGTGCAATAAGGGATCACTGCATATCCAAACACTCTTAGATGAGAAAGACATGTTTACCGTAGCAGTTATATTTCTTATGCCCATGGCTTTCAGTCTTCCTGTTTCTGCTTCATTGCCATACTCAAGCAGAATTTCAGAGAATTAAAACTGGAAAGACAGATCAGGTATTGTGTACACGTAGGTTTCCGTGGCTCGATTTCATGACTTCTTGGCTGTCCGGGTGACGCCGCATCGTTGGCTGAGAAGCCAATGTTTTGCCTGTCACATTGCAGGCTTCTTCAGGGTAGTGACCTGTCACCTGGATAGCCAAGAAGTCAGATCAGGTACTATCCCATGGAGGCTCCACTAGAGGTTCTCAAATCCTTGAATATGGAGTGCTGACTCATTGTGACAAAATCTGCCTGCTACTTTTAAAACAAACTCAATGCGGCGTCACCCGGACAGCCCAGATCATGACTCTGGCCGCAGAAGCCTACGACATCAAACTCAATATTTTAAACAATGTGTTCTGTATAAATATAGTATATGCCAAAATTTATTAATCTTTTCTTGCATTTTAATGGGTAGACATTGTCTTCCTTACTCATACTAATCCACTAGTTACAATGCAATAGCATTAATGTACTGTGCATAGGCAAAATAAATACCAAATGTTCTGTGTATATTTTCAATTCTGTTTCCAGCCTTATAATGTGGAAGATGCTGTGCAAGCATTGTTAGCAAATCACTGTATGATGGGTGAAGGAACAAAGAAATATGTGCGACAACTTCGTGTTGACTTAAACCATCGCCAATCAGCATGGGGAAGATTGAAAATTGAACGAAACCTGTATGTCCTCACAAATCTACTTTTTGAATGGTTGGAACATTTGAAATCTCCCATTCTTGATCGTGATGACCTTAGCTACATAGTTATTTTAGGCAGTCAACCAGAAACATGCCTAAAAAAATTAGATCTGGTAAGGTTAACATACTATAATGGATAATAAATTTCTCATTAATAGTAAATATGATGGAAAATTGCTTGTTAAAAATGAAATAATTACAGGAATATAACATATTTATTAATTAATGCTTAAGTGAATCTGTCTGGAGCTCCATGAGAAACAAACGGGGGCCTTGTGCAGATATAGCCTTTTTTAAATTCCTTTTCTTCTTCTTCTTTTTTCTTTTCTTTTTGTTTTTTAATTATTTTTTTTTTTCTTTTCATTTCTTTTCATTTTGTTTCATTTCTTTTTGTTTCATTTTTTTTCTTTTCTAGAAAAAATTGAAATGCAAATAAATAATGTGAATTAGCCTGAACCTTTTGATATCTACAAACTGTTCTTTGTATTCCTGTAATTTTGCAATATCTGTTTGTGAAAACTTTAATTGTTAGTTATTTTCTAATTGACAGGCCATGTTGCAAGGCTATAAATATGCTTCTCATGTAGCTGTAGTTACAATATACCTAGACAGATACTTTCAGAAGCAATGCAGTGCTAATTAGTAGGTGACTCACGAGTGAACACACCGGTCTTTTCCAGATTGTTTTCAGTGATGCATCTTCTAAATTTCTCATGATCTAATTAATGAATTAAGATTCAAAAAAGATGGAAAATGTTGAGTTTGTACATTTACATATTTTACGATAAACAATTCAGCTTTTAACAAAATTTCATCAAACTTCATAAGCATAAATATGCACAGCAGGGGATCAGGGAGCCATGACCCCTTGAACATTTTCTAAGGGGCTCTGAAGCCGTATGATAAAACATTTTAATTCTGTAAATATTTATCCCTAGTTTTCTCCTTTTTATCCAACAATTAGGTTTTTTTAAAAATATTCTATTTAATTTAGGTCACTTTATTAACAGTTGAGAAATTATTTTGTGCATAACTATTATAAACGTAGAATAATTAAAGGTAATTAAAAGTAACAATAATTTAAGGTAATTTATCAAATATTAAATTAGGGAATTTGTTTCACAATCTTTGAGGAAGAGATACAGGTCACCTGGCCACCTGTAAATGGATCGATGTAAAACAAGTTGTGCAAGCCTATGTTCACAAACAATTCATTAAGATATAGAATTATTTACAGAGTGAGTCAATTTCAGTTTTACCAACCATTCAAATGTTCACGGGTAGCAACATCTATGTATCTAAAAAATATATTATCTTCTTCTTCCTCTTTCCGTTCTTCCTCTTCTTCTTACTCCCCCTCTTCTTCTTCTTCCTCTTCTTCTTTCTCCTCCTCTTCTTTCTCCTTCTCTTCTTCTTCCTCTCCTTCTGCTTCTGTTTCATCTTCCCCTTCCCCCTGCCTCTTCCTCTCTCTTCATCACATGTTTATTATTAATCATGTTAATGAAGTGAGGGAGTGTACTTCTGACCTCATGGAAAATCACAAATGACCTTGTGTTTGTATCACCCTGATGAGCTCACACAATTATTCATTGTTTTATAAAATGGTAATGCTTCTTGCAGATTACACAGTATACATTGGAATATTTATTACGATTTTTAGCAAGACTTCAGCCTATCTCTAATGATACTACAGAAGATATCATAAAACGATTTGTTTGTTCACTTACTCATCAATCCATTGCAATTCAGGGCATTCTTAAACCTGCAGGTAAAGTAGAGTACTTGTACATACATCTAATCACATGGTTGGACAAAAACTTATTAATGCATATTTTGCAGGAAAAAGTTATCAAAAACTGCGAGAAGGAACCTACAGAAAAGTAATGGAATTTATGATAAAGGTTTACGACATGGTGTATGATAGTATAAATAATCAACTGTCAATGTCTCCTGATTCCCCTCGCAGAATTGAGGATATGAAGCAAGAGGAACAATCGCAATAATTTCACAGGTAAAATGTATTATTAATTTGTTCAAATTTTTATTTATATCTTTCCCTATACATCTTGTCTTTTTTAGTTGTACAAACTTCATTTAATTAGTTAGTATAATAATTTAGATTTTTTTTAAATCTCCAAAAAAATGTAATGCAACTGAATTTCTTTCTGTGACGCAGGAAGTTTTGATGACCCTTCAAACATGATACACATTTCTTGATTAATTGTCTTTTATCTAGAGGAGTTTTATTTTATTTTTAATTATTTTTCTGGTTGTTTGAATAAATATTCAAAAGACGAATTTTGAAGAAACAGACAAATTAATTCAAGAACTAAACAATATTTTTTATACATTTGCAGCAATCTCTATCCATTGTTTGAGATTGGATAGACCTTACTGGCTTAATTTATACTCATGCCAGAATCATGAAGCAATATAATACAAAATTGGTTAAATTCCATTTTGTATGCAACAGATGTTTCATGTCTTGAATTTGTAGAATTATGAAGAACATTGTTTGAACTTCAGATTTGAAGTTCCTGACATTTTTGGATTCATTCTTCTCAAAAGTAAAACAAATTTCGACAGGTAATAAACAAAACACTTCTTAATTCACAACAGAGCTTTTTTTGTTACATAGGCTATACATTTTTTATACAATCATCTTATATGATTTGTATATTACCATATTTGAAATCAATGATTTAAAAAACAAATTGAAAACATTTTTAAGCAATAATCATTTAATTATTTATTCATTGGTAATGTGCACGAAAAATGTATATGTAAGTGAATAAATATGAGAGAAATGAGATTTTTCCCTCCTTTTTCTTTCTTTTTTAATTATTTTTATTTATTATTTTTTTTTTTAATTAATTATTTCAAACCCCATTGACCTTGTTCTTTTCAATAGCCTGCATTTATTCAAATGTTTTCGTCGTAGCCTATTTTGCTGAAACCTTGGATCAACGTACATAATCAGAAAATTCAGGTAGATTTAATTATAATTAATAAGACCATCTAAAAGATGATTCTGAATTGAAAGAAACGAAAACCACAAAATTCCAAAGACATATGAAATCGTATTTCTTTAAAAGTGCTATAAATGTCATCAACTTGTATACAGCAAAGCTATTGGATTTCAGAATAATGTAATGATGAAAATATTTCAAATCAAATATATAATTTGAGATGAACTGCCATCATTAATTCATTATTACAGGTTACAAAAGCTTTGTAAACTTAAAGATAGTAAAATGATAGGGAAGAGCAAATATTATTTAACCATGATGCATATTTTCTTGAACAGCTGTCTTTTATCTGAATTAGATAACGTCAAAAGTTTCTGATGTAGCTATAATATAACAATTGTTTCAGTAAATATAAAATTGTAAAATGATGTCATGATATTGATATAGACCAATGATGTAGATTGAATGAATTCATAGACTTAGAAAGAAAGAGTTGAAGAAATGATTTTTCAAATTTCAGTTTAACATTTTTTTAAAATTATTTGTTTACCGTATATATTTCAATTCATATTTCAAAATATATATATTCACAAATTCAATTTCTGTAAGTACATCAATAACATATATATGAATTATTGCATTAAAGTTATAAGCTGTTTGCGGTTCACTGATACTGAGGGAATAAAGGATTTGAAAAATGTTACAAAGTTATCTGCAAACACATTTATCTTTCTTTAATTATGCAGGGGCGCTCAGAGAAAACAAGGAGCCTGGAGCAGTGGGTCTAGTGGAGCCCCTTATTTCAAACAAAAGCCCCCTCGCGAATACCTACATGAATTCGTCTCACCATGCAGAAATAACTTCAAGCAGTTGATTTGAATTAAAAATAAATTATTCAATTTCTTTTGTTTTAAATGAAAAAATTTCAGGCCTCAATTAAATTTGGGCCAAGGAAAAAGTTGCCCTAGCTGACACACCCTCCCCTCTGTCTAGGTGCCCCTATCATTATGCACATACATTTTCATTTAATATTCTATAGCAATTAATTTTCATTACATGGCTGTAATATTGACTACTGAAAAAAAAGCCTATATTTAATAGTTAATGAATTTTCTGATATTTGAATGTTCTAATTTCTATAAGATTTAACTCGATATCTAAATTAAATATATAAATATAATTGTAATATTATAATTTGAGGTATTATAATTTTAATGGTAACTAATGTAGCTTGTAGAATTATTTACATATTGAGTGACTACGTGAAAAGATGTGATACTTGTATCCAACTCAACTACAAAATTGTAGTTGAACCAGTGTGTATTATCAATTAAATCATGTATAAGACAGTAGTAAAGACAACTTTAATTCTACAATATGCTAGCTTTACTTGCATATTAAAAAATATCCACAAATACATGAAATAATACATGGAAATTTTTGTTATAAAATGAGAATAAGTAAAGGCAATGGCTTCTTTACTGAACAATTTTCCCTGTACGTTTGTATTAAAGACATAATTTTTTAATTCCAGGCAGAAGTGATAATTCAGAATAACTGAAGAGACTGTCAACTCAAAATATATTATTGAATTGAATAACTTGCAAAGAAACACTTGAAGAGAAAAGAAATTGCATGATATGCTTCATGCTGAAGGTCTTAGGCCAATTGCCATGCTGCCTCAATTCAGTGACTATATTCTAATTCTATGCTTCCAAAAGACTTAAAATAACATTGTTTATGAGCTCATCACATGAACAGTTTGATTGCTCCTCACTGGTTTGAGCTTTTAAATTAATGAATAAAATCATGTTCAATGTAGGAAGATGAATATATGTGCATCAATTTGTATACATAATAGGCTTACAAGGAAAAGGTATTAACACCAATATCATGGAACTAAGAAAGCTAATGATCAGAACTGCTTTTGGACAGACAGAATTTTGTGCTTAATGGTCTTAGATATTCCAGAATGTATCATCGCTATGGAACTAAAATTATAGGGCTTAGTCCATTTTCCTTGAATGTGGACTATATTTTGTGTCACTTAACACAATTAATATCACATTTTAATTCATTTCCTGCAGTTTTGAAATAAATAACTTTTCCCTGTAAGCTTATGACCTATATTATATTGATCATAATTCCAAATGTATTTTAGGTAACTACATATACATGGCCAGTCTAAAGTATTTCAATTATATTCAATGCCAGCATCCCAGAGTTATCATTTGTACATTTATGTATTGTATGTACATTTTATTTCCCAATAAGTTGCTAATGTAATGATCAGAAAAATAGATTTAGAGAGTTATTAATTGTGTTGTTAAAGCGATGTTCATTTTAACTCGTTTTATCTATTGGAAAGTGTACTGTGCTCTTTTGCCAAAATGGTGTTTATGTTTGTAATCAAAACGTTTCTGGATGCATTTGAGAGTTTATTAATTCTGATATAGTCATGTTATCTTTTTGTTTCTTAGTTGAAGAAAAAAGCAAAAACCCATTTCTCAATCCCACATATTCTATTTTAATTTATGTAAATTAATTTTTATTTTGCATATTCAATTTTTTATTCTCTTTAATAACTTTCCTCTTGTTTAATGTACCTGAGAATGACTATTATAAAGTCAGAAAGTTCTTCAATTAAGAAATAAAATTATAACACGAATATATAATTCCCACATTTTGTAGCCTATTTTACAAGTTCACAAGACTCCTTTATTTGCTTCTGAGGTAATTGTCCATATTTGAGAAATACCAAAAAAGGGTTGTTTTTAATGGTGATTTTTTAATTGATCAAGTAGAAGAATTGACTAAAAAACACAAGGTATAGAGAGTACATTTATGCTCCCAAAATAATTGAAATTTGAAAAAGAATTATAATCAATTATTTAACTTTTTACATTATTTTTTTATTCAGACTAGAGTATTTATTAAAGTTGAAGTAATTCTGCAAATTCATAATATGGTTTTTAATTTTTTGAAAGTATGAATGTGTTTATAAATATTTACTCACCAATTAATTACAGCAACACACATACGTTAATAAATGCTACATTTTGCCTTATCCTTCAAAAAAATGTTTTTGCAGAAATTTTCTACAACTTATTATGAGTTTGTTGGGGAGGAATCAGTATTTTCAAACATAATAGCAATGAATATCGTTGTAGAGAGAAATAGCAGAATATCTCTGCACAGGCAGGATTGACTTACAAGCACTATACTTGTCTAAAATGACAGAGTCTAAAATGACAGAATGAACAATGAAATTCAGGGTGCAAGATGTAATAGGGAATTTATATCAGGATTAAAAATGAAATAACATGTACATTTATTCATGGATGAAATGAGTAATATAAGAAAAGTGTGAACTATTTTTTATTAAATTATCTTAATTTATTTATCATTGTTTTATTTCATTTGATTTTCATATTGCTTAAATTTACCTGCCTTAAAATCTTATTTTTCACGAATCATAAAGACTTTGATTAAATAATGTTGATTTGTTTTACTTTATAAATTGTGATAGCAATATTTTGAGAGCTATAAAATTATATTGTAAATAAAACATTGTGTGAAATTAACCTGAATATTTGTTATTGCTTTTGTGTTATAAGCAATTATTATGAAGCACTACTACCAATCTAACTGTTGACATTACTCTGCCAATATTCCATATTGTTTACAGTAAATATAGTTTTTGAAGTAAAAGAATCTGGAAAAATGTAACATGTTTGTTGTTGTGCAAGACCTGTCTTTTTTTCCCTTAAAAAGTCTCAACGAAAGGGGATGTCTCATACGCCATTGCTCAATTTCTCACTCATCAAATGATGTTATGGCTAGTTGTGAAGAAATAGTTTCTAGTGCTGAAAGTTAAAGTGATGGGTTAATAACAATAACAATGAAAACAATGAAAAATACAACGACAATAACAATTGACAACAACAATAACAATATATGGTGGGGCATAATAATAATTTCGTACACTTCTTTGCAATATTTTTTGTCAACGTATTTTGTATTTCATTAACATTAAAGTGTTTTGTAAATTTAGTAAAATTAATAATAAAAGTATCCTATTTTAATCAAAAAAAATATTTTAAATAGTTGTGCATCCTATACAGCAACAAATTAAAGTTTCTAATAATCTGGAAATAGCTTTATAAAGATAACAAATTATAAATGAATATTCATAACAAATATATTTTATATTTCCTTAAACAAATGTTTTCAGACTAATAAATTTTGAATAATAAACATTCGCTATTGGTTCTCAAGTGATATTTGAGAACACAATTTCCCTCTTGATTTATTACTAAATTGTGAAAGCTAACTATGTATTTATTAAATTAAAGATACATTTTTGAATCATTTTTCTCGTTTTGGCTGTTCTTTAAATGATGGGAGGGGGGAGATAACAGATTTCGTTCGTCATATGTAACTAGGTGTGCCAACAAAACAAATGTACATATTCTCGGTTCACTCTGCCAACATTCCTAATCTAAATAGGTAGTAGTATTCAGTGTGGTTTGTCGTTCCAACACGAATTGGATGACTATGTCAAATATAGTGGGAAATGAGGCAGTGAGTATAGTGGCGTCGTGAACACCGACTCGTTTCCACTAAAATGCCATGTGTAGATTGTGGGGCATTATTAACTACTACTGGGGACAGACGAATGGGATTTCGAGACAGAGAGCAGAGGAAACACTTGAAAGTCAACGGCGCCCCTTACGTTATCGTCTCTTACGCGGTAGTTTACGCCAAAATGATGTGGGCAGCGTTCCCTCACGTCGAGCTAGAATAAATAGCATATTTTAGCTCGTTGCCCAACATGTAAAGAATATCCGTTGTTTTTTCTTAATATTAAAGTAAAAATTAAATTTCACAACGGATAATTGCAGAATTACTTTAGTATAGTCAAAATTGTTAATATAT